TGTGGATCTCCAATAGGATTAGCCTTTAGAACACAGTCTTAACAGTAGAGCCTAAAATGAGTTGTTTAGTGGTAAATTTAACCAAACTAGACTAGAAGATTTAGCTAGAATCCGCACCACAGAGCTCTCGGGGACGTAATAAGTAGGGATGTCCCGATGCAACTTTTTTCACTTCCGATACGATACCGATATTGCAGTCTTCAATATTGACCGATACGTATATCAATCTGATATAATATCAGCACAAATCATACACACATAATGTGGAATGTATAAAAGGCTTGATCAAGTGGTATTACTCAAACAGAAAACAAAAGCCATCAACAGTAAGTATAAAAAAACTGACCAATTATTTATTAACCTTTTGTTGCATAAATGTGAACAGCTGAGGTTAGGGACATTAGGGAAAAAACACAATATTGTTCACTGACCAACTGCTACAAGTTGAGCGTCTAAAGTGTGAATTTCACACACTGTGAAACTCCTCGTGCAATGTCTTGTGATCCTGCTTCAAATGCACGATGAGGTTGGACGTATTACCCTTCCCCGGTTCTGTTCCACCACGGGGAACTTGTGCATGACAAGTGCTGCACTGAGCCAAACTGTCTTTTTCTGACTTTAATGAAAAATACAGCCACATGGGCGACATTGTTCCTTGCTGCTTTGCTAGCACACACTGTTCTGATCACGTGGACTTTGCATGCTGGATCTGGGCGCTGATGGATGGAATTGCTGGAATGGAATTTAAAGTGGAACGTGCTGCTAATATCGGAGATTTTTGATGCAGTCCGATAGAATCCGATAGTGTTTTTGGTCCGATATCGGAACGGGACATCCCGTATGTGCATCATACATCACTGACATGTTTTACCCTAATTCTGCCATCTTTACCTTTTGCCCCAAAAATGTGCAAATGTCTCCAATGATGTGAGTTTAGCCTTCAGAAAGAACTGAATTCTGCATTATTTGGAAGTTAAGACAGAAAAACTATCAATCATGGTTGAAATGCAGAATGATCCAAAATCTTTTTACCAATATTGTTGTTTGTCTTAATCGTGTGGAGCAGTTCAAAATGTAAATATGAGTTTGATTAGTTGCACAGCCCTATGACTGGGTAGATTATTTTAAAATATCATAGATATCACTGTAAATTTACACTACAGTGCAAAAGTTACAAGGCTACCCCTAATTTGGGGGTCGGCAATCCGCGGCTCTGGAGCCGCATGCGGCTCTTCCATCCATCTGATGCGGCTCTCTGTGCTTGGAAAATAATGAATGGATATTTAAATAAAAAGCTTTATATTTTACTGCATTAATTTTACATCTGTAAGCTAATTCTAATTCTTCAGTCGGAGGAATCTTCCCGCATGCGCTCTGGTTCTGCGACGCGCTCCAAGCCCCTCTCCACATCTTCAGCTCGCTGTGGACCGTACGTACACGCTGACAGTGAGCTGCGCTGAGCAGTGTCCAGCTCAGATGTTCAGATGGGAATCTTTTCTTGAGTTATTTAGCGACATCTGCGATGTGCATAACGAATAAAATGTCAGTTCGTCTGCATGCGTCGGGGTAATTCTTTCTATTCTTTTTCCGTCAAAATAAACGGTCAAATACGGGAAATGTCCAGTCAACACAAGCCCTGCTTTTAACTGTTCTGTTTTCTGGTGAAAATTGTTGCAAAGAGATATAATTTAACTTGATTACCACCAGAGCCAGGCGCACTGCGCCGTTATCTCCGTCACTGTAAATGAGGGAAGAAAAAATTGATCGGATCCTTTTCTGACCTTCCCCACCTACAAAGTTTAATTACAACAATCAAACGTGACAGAGCCTGGATTTGTATTCTGAACAGTCTAAACATGTTTTAAAAAGAAACATGACAAAAGGGGCACCTGCTCAGTAAAACCATCAACAGGGTGAAAAATATCAAAATATTGTAGGCAGAGACGGGCTACAACTTCTGGATCCGTTTTATATAAATCGTTTTATTGATTATCTTCTTATGAAAGATAATTTTGACGTACATGAGCGACCGGTACTGGCTGCTGTCACCTGTTGTGATTGGTTAAAGCAGCTCTCTGCTGTCTGAGGGTAAGCCCCGCCCACAACGCCGCGGCTGCTGTGACTCCCAGTGTTTTCTTTACTGTGGGAAACGGGTAATAATGGCTCTTTGATGGGAACAAGTTGCCGACCCCTGCCCTAATTTCTTAATGCTTTATTTCCACCTAGCCTATTTTTTCTCTAATTGCTTAAGCAGAAAGATTTATGTTAGGATTACAAAATCATTAAAAGGTTTTGTCAAATATGAAAGGTCAGTTGTTGGTGTAATAACTAAATCTGGACATTTAATTGCATTATTCTTTCCTAAAGCCATGTGAATGGTCAGGTTAACCAGTCCTCCCAAGTGACATAACAGTTTCTGTCCAACAATCGTTGTTTTGGGAGAATCCAGAGAACACGAACCCCAGACTGAACATAATCCTCCAGCTTCCGTTAGAGCCCTCGGAAGAAAGCTGTAAGCCAGGTCAGATTTTTACATTCTTGCCCTCTGTTCCTGCTAAAAGCTTTAGACATTTTTGAGCCCTTGCCTGTGTCACTTGTGTTATTTCTGTACAGAGCACAATTCAGTTTGTTTTGATCTAACTCCGTCTGTCATGCAGCTGGAATGCATTTTTGGCATGAGATTAGTGTTTGAGGGAGTGGTTGTGTTTAATGTGTGCAGAATATTAATATTGTGAAGTTCACTGAATAAATTCCCACCTTACCTAATCCAATATCACAATGTAGAGTGGAGCAGATGGTGATGATTGATTCTACACCAAACATAATCATTCTGTTTCTAATTTCAAATGTTCATTTTTGGTCCAGCCTGTGATTTAGTTTCACTCACATTCCGCGACAGCATCAGAATCTGAGTTAGGAGCCTGTTCCTTCAGCATGCAACCACATGTATTTGATCTGCTCTCTGTCACAACTCCATCTGTTAGATGCTTCTCAGCTGACTTCTTCCTTTCCCAGGGAACAGCTACCTGTTTGCCCACTTTCCATCAACTTCTGTTCCTGGATTCTGTCCAAAAATCTGAAATTTCCAGTTCCTGCCTTTCCCTCTGCTGATTATCAGTCCGGCCTTTTAGAGTGATCAGCCCTTTCTCTCCTTCATCCTTCCATTCATCCGCTCTTTGTCTTGTTGTTTTCCTTGACACACCCTTCCTATCCAGGGGAAGTTGACTTTTGCTAATGTTATTAGCGAAAAGCCTTCCTCCTCACAGCTGTAAGTCATTGGCTTCACTGGCTCCCTTTATCATCCACATTTCTATGTTTGTGGTTGATTATGACTTGCCGTCTCTTTTTTTACTAAGCAGGACTAATTTTACACCAGTTCTCTAATGTGTTCCAGCAAAAGTTCTGTTCCTCCTCTAAAGTGATCAGGTTGAGATGTGTGCTGGGTGTGTTTGGACTGAGCAATAAACTCATGAGATAGGAATTTTTATCACCAGAATTTTACAAGGCACTGGTTGCAGCAGCAACATGTAGAGGATCAGCAGATGACACAATATTGCAAAAATTACTTTGAACAGGATGGATTTCATGCAGCCCATGAAAGTGCACACTGCTATTTCTCAAAAGAAACCTGTTTGCTGATGTGGAATATTTTCACTAACTAGTGTGAAGTTGGTGTATTTTTAAGACAAGCCGTGTGACAATGTGATGTCAGCTAGAGAAGTGTGAGTTTTGTAAATCATCAGCTGAAGTCTTAAGCGCTTTTCCAGAGGAGCAGGAATCTATTCTCACTGTTCTCAGTTTTATCATTTCCTGTCAGGAAAGAGTTCACTGATTAATGACATCCTGCACTGCTCACACTCTTTAGTTGTTTCGTGCACTCTCAATTAACATTTTTCACAGTTGTACTCCATCTCTTGTGGGTTTTGTCCTGCTTAATTGTCTCTCTTTCACTTGCTTTTCATCACTCTTGGATCTTTGCTTTTGCACAAATAAAGAACACAGGGAAGGGATTCATTAGGATTTCAAAAGGATTGGCTGATCTACAATCATTGCACACTTAAACATCAGTAGTGAGCTGCTCTCATGGTAAAAGATCCTGGGCGGCTAGAGAATCAGGTGGATCACATTTCTCTGTCAGGCAGCATCTGAGGACAAGACGGATTTTCTATTGTTTCTCTCTTTTTTTTCCTTTTATTTGGGCCAGGATTATCAGTTTGTGTGTAGGCGTGGCTCTGTGAGCCCGGTCTGGTTCTGAGACAGTGTGTCCTCTGTAACGGCTTCATTAAAAGCAACATGGTTCAGTAGGCAGCACACAATCACTCACCCTCCCATCGCTGTCCTCAGTCTCATCCTGTCTCCATTAGCGCTTCCCTTTACCTTTTGTTATCCGCCTTGCCACGGTGACCTGCTTAAGCTCCACAACCTGCTGCTGCATCAGCATAACCTCTGGCCTTCAGTAGCTGCTGATGCACTTTTATTATTCATGAATCTGTTGCTGTTTTAGTTTCAAATAATCTCATTTAAATTTGTCTTTGCATTCAAAATCTGAATAATCAGATATTAGCAAACCTATTTGGTCTGTTTACGGTCATACCTGGGACCTTACTGCAGGAATCAGCTTCTACAGAGTGAAGCTTAGAGAGGAGCCTATTCATTAGTTGAATGCACGTTTGCTAAAAGCCATGAAAGTTATTTCAAATAAAAATACCAAGAATGAATCATTTTAGTCTAATTGTCTTTATAAAGAAGGATTTGTTAAAATGCTCAATAAGAAATACAGAGCAGATATTTGCCCACTTTGATTCCTGTTTCCCCCACAGCAGAGGACCAGACTGGAGGCCTCACCTTTCTGCTTCGTGTGTTTTGGATACTGCCCCCAAGTGGCAGCAAAATGCTATGACATACAGATTTTTCCAAAGAACCACTGAAGAAGCAAATTCGTGCCTTTAGACTGGAGCATGACTCAAGTCCAGTTTGACTTCCTGTCTTCTTGCCTCCAGGTGCAGCAGAAGCAGAGTAGTGAAGACAAAGGGAAAAGCCCTGAAACACCTTTTCATGACACCGACAGTCAGTACGGGACCTGGGAGACGGGACTACGCTCTGATGACAGGTGCTGCTACACTTTACATTATCCTTCACGTAACCAGAATGGACACCAGCAGTTGTGACTGAAGGGTCAAAGGTCATTTGCATTCAACAGGGACTGAAGTGAATCTCTTTATTGCCTTAGTTATTTCCCTGGAAAAAACTGATCCTGATGCTTTAATCCACCAGAATGCTCTTGTGCGATTATTAAAACTTTCCTCTGATGTCTTTTTTTTTCTCTTCTCTTTACTTTCTTCCAGGCACCAAATTTTAGACTTTAATTTTCTAAAAAATAAAGAATTTGCATCAACAGATTCTGAGATATTTTTCTGATGTTGAATGGTTTCGAAGAGGTTTTTAACAGGGACGTTCTGATCATGTTTTTTTGGCTCCGATCCCATTCCGAGTCATTTGATTTTAAGAATCTGCCAATACTGAGTCCCAATCAAATATGGATCTTTTTATTTATTTTTTTATTTGTCATTTCCACTTGTTTAGGCAGTACTTTAATAAAAAACGTGTTAATATCAGGAACATATGGAAAAGTTGCCTTGTTGCTCTTATTTCAGACTGTTTACTCTGTGCGGCTGTTTTGAGCAACAGGGATGGCACGGCACATGACGGTCAGCAGCAGGGTCACTCCTTTCTACAAAACACCTGTAGTGCTGCATCTGCAAAGTTAGTGAGAGAAAGCAGACTCAAGCAGACTGCAAAACCCTAAGTTTGCAACCACAGACGCTCATCCAGTGTGATAAATACACTGCTATATTGGCATTTTTGCTGTCCATAGACAACTTTTATTCAGGTCGACTGGCTAATCCGAATTGTTGCAGCAAACTGAGCAGGGTTAATTTTTTTAAGGTGGTGCATCAGATTCGTAGTGTTGAACGCAGCACTACCTTTTCCACCACGTTAAATGCCCAGTTTGCACACATTAGACATGTTTATTACAGTTTCTTTGCTGTTAAAATACATCCAAATTACAGACATTTTCTCTCTCCTGAGGCGACGACTATGCTCAGCGTTAGCTAACAGCTACATGTTATAGTGTCTAAAATCCTGGGCTACCTTAAACTGTGGGGCTTTACAGTGGTGTTGTCAGTGAAACAAAGAATACTGATGTAGAGGAATTTGTTGAATTTAAAAGTAAGCCATTGTTTTTCTGTTAGAAAATCTATTTCTTAGGATGAATTTAAGAAGTAATGTTTGTTGTTTTAAATGGTTAAATCCTTTTTTTTTTCCCCGATTCAGATTTGTAAAAAAAATCCTGTGAAAAATCATGTGATTGGACCCGATTTCCACTCACTTGATCGGATGGGAGAATCTCTAGTTTTTAATGAAACGGCTGAATCTAAACGTGAATTAGTTCTTGGAAGTGGCATCTGAGCAACCATCCACCTTATATTGATGATAGTTCTGTATAACACTGACTCTTCACGGAGGGTTTAATTATTGAGCACATCTGGTCTGAATGTAAATGCACGCTTAAACCACTAGTTTTATAGTTGTTTCATGTATCAAAACACATATCTTCATTTTAATTCTGTTGCAGCCTGACACCTGCTACTCCTAGTTCAGAAAGCAATTTGAGTCTCTCCTCAAGAAGGCCTGCACCACACTCACCTGCTCATCTGTCCTCGGACACTCTAGACGGTGCCCCTGTCTTACCCTCATCTGAGAGCCAGCCCCTCCCTTTCCCTGATGTAAGCGTTAACCTCGTTTTTTTTACCCACAATACTTCTCTGTTTATCTTCTGCACTTTCTTTTGCCGTCTTCACTTTCAGGCTCCGATAGCTTTGTTAGACAACAGCGTTCTTCGCTCTAGAGCCCAGCTTGGGAAGAAACGAGCCCCGAGGACACGGCCGTCCAAGGCGAGCCATCTGAATTCAGCACAAATCCAGGAGGAGGGAGGAAACACAGAGGACTGGCTGTACAGAGACTCAACTGGTAAATAATTCACATAAAAATATAGTTAATGAAACTTTACAAAACCTTCAATATCTGGACTACAGAAGTCCTAAACATTGGTTCTTCTGGATAAGTTCCTGGACATCAGTGTTAGGAACCAGACTGAACCTTTTAATTCTGACTGAACTGTTCATTTGTGGCCTTCTGATGACAGAGCCAAAGGCACAGTTTAAAGACTTGGAGCCTGAGGAGAAGATCAGAGGAGCTGATCCTGGACCTGCTGTTGTCTCACAGCCACAGAGAGTTGCCCTGTTTCCTGGTGTGGATCCTTCAGCTTTAAAGGTGAGCTAGCAGGTATTATTAGATATTCATGCAAAGCACTTGATCGGCTTCACATATAAACATGTTCCACTTTTTGTCAGGCCCAGCTGAAGAAGAGGAGCGACTCTGAAACAGATGGACCTATTCCCTCTCCTTCCCAACCCTCTCGCTCCCCTAAGTCCCCGTTCCTCCCGCGGGCTGCGCGTGTTCTGCCCCCACCTGGTGTGAAAGAGAACAGGTGAGCAGCAGTAACAAGTGATTTTTAGAATATTTCAACGTAAAGTTTAGTTCTGCAGCTGTTTGTGTATTTACTGCTTCTCTTTTGCAGCGAGGAGGACTCACCACAGTGGTTAAAAGAGCTCAAATCTAAGAAACGCTTGAGTCAGTATGAGAGTGAAACCTAAGTGAACAATGAGGTAAAAAAAATGTTTTTTCTCTTTTCCTTTGATTTAAATAAGCAATAATCACACAATAAAAGCTCTGTTATTTAATTTCATCTGTTTTTGACATGTTCTAATTTTTCTCTTCTAAAGGTTGCCTTAACAGATGAATCTGTGTGAAATAGAAGCCTTAATGATTGACCCAGACATTAGAAGAAAGTGGATTTACAGCTGCTGATTACACACATATATACATGCATATATACATGCATATATATATATATATATAAATAAATATATATATATTTTTTTTTCATTGAATTTTTTTCTAGTGTGTTTTTTTTTTTCTGGGTTGACAATTGTGCATGGTGCCTTTTTTCCCTAACGAAGAGTCTCTGACCTGGAGAATAAAAATACAAAAGCAAGGACACACTCTCCTCATGCTTGCTGTACTCCATTTCACCTGTGGAGGCTCTGGTGCACCTGAAGGGACTTTACACGGACTCTAAGGTGGAGAAACTAGGAAATCTGAGATAAAAGGAATTAAATTTCATGGAATTCCTCGCGGGCCACGCTTCAGGAGACGTTTACCATGTGGGACCACGATGCCTCGTTTTTTTTGTTTCCATGGACGTGCTTCCTCGCAGGCCGGAGAACAGTCCACCCAAGATGTTACATGGTGTGTGTTGTCTGTGGCATCTGATCAGTCACACAGGTATTGCCATAAGAAGACATTTCAGACACTAATTAGTTCTTGAATCTAGAGAACAAATCACATCTGGCTTTGATGGTCTGTGGGAACATGTTAATAAATATAGTAAGATGTTATATTTGTACCGCTGGTTTAACAGAGAGCTAGTTTTGATGTTGGAAAACCGTAGGATGCATCACGGCACTAGAGGCTCCTCAGCCTCCCTCCCTTTGAGACACTCCACGGCCGAATGGTGTTACAGTAGTGGCGTACTGTAAAATACTTTTGTCATATTATGTATTTTGTTCCTTATGAATGAGGGACGGAGGCTTTTGGGCTAGTGGCTTTGCATCTGTCAATCATGCACAAAACAAATCTGCACAAACACACTTGTCTTCCCTCTGTGTAATAGACAAGAAAGCTACAAGATTCTGATAAAAGCCATACTGTCTTTTAGTTGCTTTCGCCTCCTCAGTCATGTTTGGCATCATCATCCTAACTAAGGAACCCCTACCCTAATATTGGCGCTGCATGCACAATCGTTCCTGTCACATCAAGCTCCCCTCTGGCTGGTGGGCTCAGAGCAGCGGTGTTGGCTCACACTACTCCAAGGAGTTCTTTATTTTTTTTAGCTCTAAATAAATGTGAACATGTTGACCTCCTTTAGAGCTCGAGCACCTCCTCTTGTCTGCCACCCCCCCCCCCCCCCTCTCTCTCTCTCGCTCACTCACTCACTCACACACTCACTCATACACTCACCCACCCACACTTCTACAAAGCACTTTGTCACTTGATGCACTACAACACAGACCTCTGCCCCCTCTCGTTGGCCATGTTTTTCATTTGAGCGGCTCGCTCGTGTGATGCAAGCAAAGTGAATGTGTTGATGGAGCCTCTGGAGTGATTGTCCCCAGTTTCAGCGTGTATGAAGTTGTTTTTTGGGTCATAGAATTTGAGGGTTTGTATTTTATGTCTATCTTTGTTTTTTTTGTTTTTTTGTTTGTTTTTTTATTTGAAAGTAAAAACGTGTATTGCACTGTGTTGTACTGGCCAGTGTCCTAAAGTGTATAAATTCTTAATAAAAGAAACCACTTGTCTTGAACTACAGACTCAAAGTTCAATTTTTGGTAACACTTCCTTTTTCAGTCCCTTAATTACTAGGCAAGCCAGGCAAGGCATCTTTATTTATAGAGCACATTTCAAACAGACAATTCAGTGTGCTTAACAATTATCAGGACATTACTAAGCACTAATACTAAGTACTTACATGGTAATTACCTAGTAAGTTAAAGTGTATTATTGTTTCTGAGTTCTTAAACAGTTATTACATGTAACTCGGGTTCAATTCTAGTTTTTATTTTGATTAATCATTCCCAGTAAATACTTCTTTACACAATAATTACACTTTATTACAATTATACACTTTAATTGCACAATAATACACTAACTTACTGTGTAATTACCATGTAAGTACTTAGTAATTAGGGGACTGTAAAAGGAGGTGTTACCCAATTCTTTTCATCTTTATTCTAGATCTACGACCTTCTATTCTCCTAACTTGAACATCTCTGGTTTGAATCGATGGTTTGAATTGAGAAGCTTCAGAGGATAACTGTAGATCTTCCAGGAACCTGAAAAACAAATGAACAAACATGTAAAATTCCCATGATGAAATGATAATCCTTTTCCTTACGTTATTTAGCTTTTCGAGCTTCCCGTCTTTATCCTGGGGTGATCGGTTTAATGTGCTTCTTAGAATTAGAATCTTGTTCTGACTCCTCTGTAGCCAGCTTGGTGAACGTTGCAGTAAAATGAGAAAGAAAACTTTTGCAACAACTTTTATTCTTTGACTAATTGTCACATGTTTATGTTTACGTGCTGTACATCTTTGTTTAAAAATCTATGAAAATATAACCTTTTAACCCTTGAAAGGGAGTGAGGCTTTTCAAGAATTTATTTTTTCTTCAGTCTTTTCTTTTTTTTTAAGTTTCTGGTTCAGGCTGCAAATCATGACTTAAAAGTGCACATGAGATCTTATGTGACCAGTCGACCTATAAAGAGTTAAGGTCAGAGGTTGTGATCCTACATTATGAAAGAAATGAGGGACCAAAAGGGGCATCGTGGGAGTGTTTCAAGTCCTCCGCTGAACAAAAACGCTGCAAAAGCTTATCTAGCATTTACTAAAAATAATCTCTATTAATTTTTTGAAAAGATTCTGTGTATTATCGAGAGAAAAGCAGAACTTTCTCAGAGACGTGTGTCCCATCTGGAGAAAAACTACCACTAAAACATCTTGGCAACAGTCAGACATGGTGGTGGTAGTGTGACAGTCTGGGGTTGCTTTGCTGCTTCAACACTTGGATCACTTGTTTATAATCGATGGAACCATTCTGCTTTTACCAGAAATATCCTGAAGGAGAATGTCTGGTTGTTGGTTCAACGCCTTATTCTGAGGTGCACGTGTGATGCACTAGAACAATGATCCAGTGCTGTGACCTGACCTTAAACAGATCCTTCATGATAGGAAAACTCCCTTACGTGGAAAGGTTCCTCTACAGTGATGAGAGAGACTACCAGTTACCACAAAAACCTGATTGCAGTTGTTGCTGCCAAAGATGGTTTAGAGGGTTGATCACATATGACCAGCTTGGTTTGGATTCATTTATTTTTATGCCTAACAAATGAAATCCTCATTCCAGAAACATGTACTCAGGAAAACTTAAACATTTAACTATGACCCCAAAAAAGCAAAAACAAGGAACTCTGTGAAATGATTTTTTTTCTTTGTCACAGAGCTGAAAATCAGGCATCTTCTTTCATGTCAGTGTGTTGGATGTATTAGAAAAGTGTGAGAAGCGTTTGTGTGGTTTGAGCCCTGTGTAGCTGGACAGTTGGTGTGTGTGTTTGTGCTGAGCAGGCCTGTTTGCTGAATCCTCTTGGCTCTGTCTCCATGTGCCCGCACACAGCGCTCACTGGCAGCTGGCCGGGCGGGCGGGCAGGGCAGTGTGTGCCAACACAGCTGCCTATTGAGAGGCAGCGTTACGGACACAATGTGAGCGACAGACTTGCTGTATCAACAGCTCCCCCTTTTCTGCTGTTGTGGCCAGAAATAAACCATAAATACCCCCTCGGATCGGCCCTCTAATGGCTCAACCCCACCAAACATCAAGTTGTACCAAAAAAGAGGGACACTACCATTCTCTAGCAGGCATACCCAGGTATAAACGCCTCATGCTGGACACATGGATTTTTTTTCCACTGATTTATCATCCCTGCAAAGGAATTAGATGGCTCTGCAACAATAGAGACCCAGACTTGGATGTTTTGAGGATTATGGAGTTCAACTTCTTCTGAAGAGTTTGATTAACAATAAGTCCAGTTGAAAAAAGAAAATGATTTCAGGTGAAACTGTGACATGAAACTTTACTCTTTTGTGCATATTTCTGCCTGTGTGTGTGTGTGTGTGTGTGTCCGATGGATGGTGCTTTGTTGTGCTGCTGCCAAGAAGTGGAGGAGCAGTGGATCAGGAGGATGTCAGAGCAGCAGAGTGCCCCAGACCAGCTGGCTGCTGGGAAGAGCCAGGGGGCAACTGGAGCCACATACAAGGTACTCAGACAACTTTCTGCCTGAAGGCAAAAACTGGTTTGATCAACAAGTTTTTACCTTTTTTACTTTACTAAGTTTTGTTTATACAGGCGTACATCTGAATCTGTGATTTTAGTAGCATATCTGAATACTTTTCCACCGTCTGTAATGTGTCCCATACTGAAGATTTTCTCTCAAATCTCCAAATTAAGACTGAAATAAAATGCGTGGTTTGTTCCTTTTCCCAGGTGGTGCTGTTTGAGTTCGAAAACTTCCAGGGCTGCAAGGCAGAGTTCTCAGCAGAGTGCAAAGATGTAACGGAGAAGGCACTAGAGAAGGTTGGATCTGTGATAGTTGAGTCAGGACCGTAAGTGAGGCTGAATTCAGATGCTCGGAAAAGAGCTAGGAGTTCAAGTTAATGAAGTAAAATTTTTGTTCATCGTTTCTTCCTCTCAGCTGGGTGGGTTACGACCGGCACGGGTTCACTGGGGAGCAGTTTATTCTGGAGAAAGGTGAATATCCACGCTGGGATACCTGGACCAGCAGTCAGCACAGCTACTCCCTTCTGTCTCTGAGGCCACTCAAAGTGGTGAGTGGCTTGTTTAAAACAGTCAAACTGCAGCAATTTCAACTTGTGTGATTTTCTTTATTTTTGGCCGGTATTAACTGAAGAAGTCATGACTTAGATGGGCTTTTCTCCTCTTTAGGATAGTTCCGAACACAAGCTACAACTGTATGAGAACCCCGGATTTACTGGCAGGAAGATGGAAATTGTCGATGATGATGTTCCAAGTTTGTGGGGTCATGGTTTTCAGGACCGTGTCGCAAGTGTCAAGGCTCTTAACGGAACGTAAGATTCCTCCTTCATCCCTTGTTCAACCTCATCACTCTGAATTTCTGGTGTTTCATTTGTTTTACTCTGTTCATCCTGACGATTATGTGTTCTTCCAGATGGGTTGGCTACATGCACCCGGGGTACAGGGGTCGACAGTTTATCTTTGAACGAGGAGATTTCAAGCATTGGAATGACTGGGAGGCCCCTGCTCCTCAGATCCAGTCTGTCAGACGTGTGCGGGACATGCAGTGGCACAAGAGGGGTTGTTTCATCGTTCCTGACCCTGCTCCCATGCCAGGCCCAGATCCAGATCCTGCCCCGGCTCCTCCCGCTCCTCCTGCTAAAGCAGGGGCCAGCTGAGCAGAATCTCTCCCCCCCCCCCCCCCCCCACACACACACACACACCTCCCAGAGCCCACTCTGCCCCAAGTGCCTGACCTCTACTTTAACCTAACCATGACAAATGCTGCTTGTGCCCATTGATGGAGGGCCATGTATGTTTCAGTGGCAAATAAAACTTGTTTGACCTGGAACTAGTTGGTGGTGTTGTATTTGTACTTCAAGGTGAAAAAGGATCATAATCACATCATTTAGATTTCTAAAGCACCTACATGTAAGGTAATACATTTTCAGTCATGTGCTACTTTAATAACTCTCTTTCTAGTTAAAGAAATTATTCCATTAGAAGCATGGTGGTGATTCAATAAATATGTGAATACATATTTTCTCAGTGGCCACGAAAATTATGTCGAGCTGTTTGCTTGCAAATAAAACCAATAACCCTGCCATAGTCATGTTGTATTTTAATGGCAGTGGTCCTCATGGTGTTCAGTCACCAGAAAAACAAGTCAAGCTTCTTTCAATCCTAAAGTTTTATTTATCATAACTGAAGGATGTTAACTTTGTAAGTTCTAAAATGTCTCTCATCCACCCTCATTTAAAAATTCAGGAAATCTGTTTTATGACAGTGATCTAAGCTCCAACTGGCATTTTAGACTTTTGACTAGAACAATTTGGTCTACAGAGGAGTTCTTGATGAGTTTAGGGCGGCAGAGGACTTAAGTGCCCACCCTGTTACTGGAGGGTTGCAGGTTTGAACCCCACCTCAGTCTGTCGCAGTCGTGTCCTTGGCGAAGACACTTACACTCCTTACCTGCTAGTGGTGGTCGGATAGATCGGTGGGGCCTGTGTGTGATAGCCTTGCGTTTGTCACTGTGCCCCAGAGCAGCTGCGCTATGAATAAGCTCATCACCACCAACGTGTGAATGGGCGAATGATGGCCATTAGTGTAAAGTGAATTGGAGTCTTGTGATTCAGAAATGTGCTATATAAGTCATTTATCAGTGACTTTGATGTGACCAAACCATTAACCCTCCACCACCATGCTGACAGCTTGTGTAGGCTCAGTATGCTTAAATACGTTGTTTGAATTGATTTGTGTCAAACATCATGCTGTCCCATCATTACGGGAAAGCATCTCTAATTTGGTCTCATCTGTTCCAGAAGCCTCAAATCGTTTATTCAGATTTTTCCTGACGAGGCCTGTCATGAACTTTAACCTGTACACTGAGTGCTATGGAGTCTGAGCTAAAGCTCTAGAAGGTTTTGCAGTTTTCCAGAGCATGGCACTGTCTAAACTTGAGGTGAACTTGATGAAGCTTCTGCTCTGTAGAATGCAACTGAAACAATTTGTGTGGTCATTGCTGGCAACTTCCCTCTTTATTTGTGTTAACACACACTTGTATGCTCCAGACCAGCAAACTGCTTTAACCCCCATTTACATTTGATCAGGGGCAAACCTAGCCTGGCCTGCCAGACTCGTCCTCTGTTTAATACACACAGAACTAATGCTTCCCATAAGGAAGCATGGGGCTGGCAGGCCAGGCTAGGGCAAACCTACACCAACAACTTTTACATTTTACTTTTGTTTTATTAAAAATGACAATGAATCTATTGGGTTTTACGAAATTTGAGGTTATAATATAAAAATAATAATATAAAACATTTTTTAAGCATGTGTCCATTAGAGCTCGTCATCAACAAAAGAATGAAACTACAATAGTTTTAGTTAAATTAATTAAAAACCAATTTGCCTTTATACATGACAATCCATTTAGCAGAATCTATGTCTTTCACAGACATTAACATGAAGCTGAAGATGTTCAAGAACAGAAAGAAACCGCCCAATAACAGTGGTGGATTTAGCAGTTTGGGGGCCAAAGGCAAACAAAGGCTTAGAAAAAAGTGAGCAGTGACTTCATGCTGTTTATTTGCAGCATTAACATGAATGCAGTTTTCAGTAACTGTTAAACTGCAGCAATCTAATAAGAAATCTAACATTTGACATTGTTGCTTCAAACCTTTTACTCTCTTCCTGCTTCTGTTGCTTTTCTGAACCCTTTGGAAAGCTTCACTTCAGTTTTGCAAAATTCTTAAACTTCCTATTTTCATCCAATCACAAACTTGCTCTACGGTCATTCACCTCTGTTGCCACAGTCGTGTAATTGTCCCTCACAGCTGGGTGACAGGGGACAGCAGGACTCAAATAGCAGTCTGATGCAGTTTTGGAAAGGGGTAGAATGCCTTCTCCAGGTCAGGGATGAGGTCCTGCCCCAAGTGGAGGAGTTTAAGTATCTCGAGGTCTTGTTAACAAGTGAGGAAAAGATGGAGTACGAGATCGATAGGCAGATTGGTGCTGCATCTGCAGTGATGCGGGCGTTGTACCAGTCTGTCGTGGTGAACAGAGAGCTGCGCCGGTCGATCTACGTTCCTACCCTCACCTATGGTCACGAGCTTTGAGTAGTGACCAAAAGAACGAGATCTCGGATACAAGTAGCCAAAATGAGATTTCTCTGCAGGGTGTCTGGGCTCTTCCTTAGAGAGTGTGAGAATCGGTCATCCGGGAGGGGCTCAGAGTAGATCAGCTGCTCCTTCATATCGAGAGAAGCCAGTTGAGGCAATTTGGGCATCTGGTCAGGACATCTTCTAGACGCCTCCCTGGTGAGGTTTTCCTGGCTCATTCAACCGGGCGGAGACCCAAGGGAAGACCCAGGACACGCTGGAGAGACTATGTCTCTTGGCTGGCCTGGGAACACCTTGAGATTCTCCTGGAGAAGCTGGCCCAAGTGGCTAAGGAGAGGGAAGCCTGAGCTTCCATGCTGAGCTGCCTCCATGACCTGACCTTGAATAAGTGGACGATAATGGATGGATGATGCCATTTCAGCTTAATGTTTTTTTAGAATGACATGGTAAATTAAATTTGTAGGAAAAAATATCTTAAACGTCTTTGTTACTTGTTCATCACAGGGCCCTTAAAGTGTCCGAGGCCCAAATGGTAATGCCTAATGGTAAGTCCCAGTATGCCTATGACACCATGGGCAGTTAGTGAAGGGGTGATCAGATGTGACACCAATGTGGTAAAGTGTCACCTGCAACTGAAGCATTGTGGGTCATTTCATAGTGACAATGTGTGCAGGTGCTCTGTCATCATTTTAATTATCATCCTTTGATGTGTGTATCAGTACTGAAAAAAAATTACAAAGAAAGTTGGAGCTGGAGTCACAGATGCTATCAAAAGGTGTAAGAAAAATCACTTTAATTCAAATAAACAAATGCAGGAATCTCAAACACTGTTGATTTGCTCTCAGAAGTAACTTTAATTTAATCCTCAATGTATTTATGTTAGGCTTGGTGTTCATGTGAATGCTTAGTTTTATACTTAGGGCAGAAACAAAATAGTGCCCTCCCCAATCAGCAAGCACAAGTTTGACTTTAGTTATGCAGACAAAAACAGCTTAACCTTTGCTTGAGTTAAAAAATAAAAAGTAAACTGATCTAAATCTGATCTACAGCACAGTTCAAACTGCATGGATAAAAGCACAGATTCTCAAATGAGAATCAAAGAAACATTCCTGTGAGTCATTCTTCTTATTATTATTATCATTATTATCCATCCATCCATCCATCCATCCATCCATTTTCATCCGCTTAACCGGAGTTGGGTCGCGGGGGCAGTAGCCTAAGGCAAGAGGCCCAGACTTCCCTCTCCCCAGCTACTTGGGCCAGCTCCTCCGGGGAATCCCAAGGCGTTCCCTGGCCAGGTGAGAGACATAGTCCCTCCACCGTGTCCTGGGTCTCCCTTTAGGTCTCCTCCCAGTTGGACGTGCCTGGAAAACCTCACCAGGGAGGCGTCCAGGAGGCATCCTGACCAGATGCCCAACAAGACCCCAAGATACTTTAACTCCTCTGCTTGGGGCAGAACCTCATCCCTGACCCGGAGAATCTACCCTTTTCCGAATCAAGACCATGGTCTCAGATTTAGAGGAGCTGATTCTCATCCCAGCTGCTTCACACTCGGCTGCAAACCGCTCCAGCGAAAGCTGAAGATCACGTTCTGATGAAGCCAACAGGACCACATCATCTGCAAAAAAGCAGAGACCTGATCCTCAGGCCACCAAAACGGATTCCCTCAACACCTTGGCTGCACCTAGAAATCTTGTCCATAAAAATTATGAACAGAATCTATGACAAAGGGCAATCTTGGCGGAGTCCAACTCTCACTGGGAACAAGCCCGACTTACTGCTGGCAATGTGGACCAAGCTCTGACAACAGTCATACAGGGGACCTAACTGCCCATATCAGAGGGCCTGGTACCCCATACTCCCGGAGTACTCCCCACAGTGCCCCCCGAGGGACGCGGTCGAATGCCTTCTCCAAATCCAAAAAAGCACATGTAGATTGGTTGGGCAAATTCCCACGCACCCTCCAGGACCCCCTAAGGGCATTGAGCTGGTCCAATTTTCCACGGGCAGGAGGAAAACCAAATTGTTCCTCCTGAATCTGAGGTTCAACAATCCGACGGACCCTCCTCTCCAGAAGCCCTGAATAGACCTTACCAGGAAGGCTCAGAAGTGTGATCCCCCTGTAGTTGGAACACACCCTGCTGTGTTATTGTTTGAATGCTGTTAAGCATTCATTGTTTGAATGCTGTTAAGCATTCAAACTATTGTTTTCCTCTTTTCTTCTTATTCTGCTTCCGTACACTTTTTGAACCTCTTCTTCTCCTTCAAATTTTGAGCTATTTCAACAATTTTATATCAAAACGTTCAGCTCGTTAAGCTCTTTCCGGCTATTACTTTTGGCATTGATATCTTTAAAAATTTTCGAGTTATTAAGCCTTTTTTGCGAAAAATTTCCCATTGAAATGAATGGGATTGGTCAATTTTCAGCAAATTCCTATCACTTTTTTTTACCTAAAACTCTGTTGGGTTCCTTTTAACTTAGAGACTTCATTCAAAGTTTAACAAACTCACAAGACTTTCATGTTTAACATATTAAAGAGGCATTTTTGAATATCTTTTACGGTTTTTGTAAAATCGCA